GCTGAGTGGGACAGAGGGAGAGAGGGTGTTTGTAAGTAAATCAGGACGAGAGAGGATAAACAAAGTATCTGCCGGCAGCTTCGTTCTGTTCAGTGGAAAGTAATTAAAAGCAATATTTTCAAACAAATCTGGATTCATTTCGGAGAATGAAGGAAGCACATGAGTTCTTCAGACAAGCCTCAGATACGTTTTTCCTGTTTCAAGTGCTGCTTCCGGCTATATACCCTCCGGTCCTCACGGGGGTATCTGGGAAATCTGGGAAACTTTGGAAAAGTCTGGGAAGGCATGTCCTACTGGAGTGACCCCCCCCCCGACCCAATTGGGCCCTTGGCGTTTCACAGGGGATGTCTGAGGACGTGGCCCAGCTACGAGCAGTGACAACATTGATGGAGCAGGAGAATGGAGGCCGCGCCCCTAAGATGGGGTGGACAGGGAGGGCTGGGGACCAGATCAAGGCCTCCTGGGGGTAGCGTGGGTGCTGGAAGGGGGCGTGGGGGCAGCAGATGCTGACACTAAGAGTCCAGCCTAGAGGCCGAATGAGTCACAGGGATCCAGGTAGACTGTGGAGCAGGGGCAGGCTGAAATACAACCGAGTCCCTCCCTCTCTCCTACCCCATCTCTCTAGGACCCAAGGGAAGCAAGGCTCTGGGGGTCCAGGCAAGTGATTCAGGCAGACTGGGTCTCAGGGAACAAGTCAGGGACCTGGTTCCCAAAACTGGGGCACGAGGTGGGGATGGGATGTCGGGAATGAGGCCAAAGCCCAGTTATCAGAACTGGGACACTTTCCATGTGGGACTTACATCCTTCCTGCATAAATCCTGGGAAACGGGGTGTGTCTGCACCTGGGAGCTGGCAGGACTCTTCGTTTGAGACGCAAAAGTGGGGTTGGGTGCGGCTGTGGGACATCAACGTACCACCTGCTCTGTCCCGCCCGGCACCCCAGGCTAGCTCACCCTTGGAAGAAGAGCCTCAGAGTAAACATTGTTTATTTTGAACATTCAAATTTACAAAAACAAAAAAGTAACAAAAACCCATGACATAGCTCACACACGTACACATACACACACACACACACACACACACACACACACGTTGCATCTCATGTCACTTTATGTACAAAATTGGGCAAGGAGAAGGGGGCGGTGGGTCACCAGGAGGGTACAATAGTTTCACAGTGTCGGACAGCTGGACACGCTCACTCACTGCTCAGCCTGGGCCCACACGAGCCCCTTCCCCACCCAGCAGGGGTGAGGTGGGATTTGGGGTGGCAGGCAGCTGTGACAGAGGGGAAGAGAATGATCCCATCTCTGGGAGGGGACCCCTTCTCCAGTCTGCTCAGGGCAAGGTGCTGGGAAATGTAGAGGAGCAGGGACCCAATTTGGGGGGGGCGGGGGTAGGGGCCACTGCGTTGTGGGGAGTCAGAAAGCTGAGATCAGGTCTCCAAGGGTCCTGGCCGGGTGGCCCTGAGGGGCGCTCACCTTCCCTCATCTGTAAAACGAGGCGTGGGCCTCTTGAAGAATCCTTCCTGCCCAAAGCTGTGGTCCAAGGTCATGCACAATTATGGCAAGGTGATCGGCCCCCTTGGGATGTTGACTGGGGGTACAACGTGCCACAAAGGTGGGGAGATCTGGCAGATAAGAGCTGTGAAGCACCTGGCGCAGGGCTTGGCCCAAAGCAGGAGTTTGAGAAACATCATTTTCCCCCTTCCCTGCCTGGGACACTTGGGAGACCATCCAGCTTCCTCTTCCCTTTCATTTCTCCTGGAAACTCTAGCCAGGAGGGCTGAGGTGGCGGGCACACTTCAGAGGCACATGTTCCCTGAAGGGGCTGAGACCCCTCCCATGGCTTCACCCAAGGGGACCCTGGCCCTGGGGCCAGCCCATCCCGGGCCTCTGCCTCCATCACAAACCCTGTGAGGGTAGTGAATGGGGTCAAGCATCTCTTCAGGCCAAAATCCACCCGGAGCAACGATGCTAAGTGTCACTCCCTACAGAGAGCAGGGGTGCCCGTGCCTTTGCAACCTGTTTGGTTTGAACGCTGGACTCCGTCTTCTGCCAGCTGATTGACACTGGGCAAGTTACTTAACCTCTCTGTGCCCCAGTTCCCTCCCTTGTATAACGGGGCCCCAAACCGTTCCAACCTCATAACTGTGTTGGGACGATAAATGAGATGATGCGAGGTGCTCAGCGCAGCGCCTGACAAGGTTGTAAGGAACACGGGCCCTGGCACCGTCGTTAGCCACAGCAGCTCAGGGACGCAACCGAGCGACATTTCTAGCTCCTCCTTCCCCGTCTTCTCGGCTGTGCCCAGGAGCAGCTGAACAAGACCAAAACTGGAGTCCAAACGGCAGGCTTTGGGCAGAGGTGAAGAGCGGTCCATGGATGAAGGAGGGGTGGGGACAGCAGGCTTGCATCTTCCTGAAATGGGAATGATCACCCAGGCCACTCGCCGATGTCCCGGACTCACAGCCTGCACCTTGACGCCTCGGGTTTGTTCCTGTTCCCTCTGGAGGGCTGACCAGGGTGACTCAGCACAGGACCGAGGTCAGATGTCTCATTATGACCATGACAAAGCATAAAGGACTTGGGAGGATGCCTCTGGGTGGGCTCAGCCATCAAACAAGTTCTGTCACTTTCCTCCTAAGACCCTTTCTTTCCCCCCAGGCCTCCACAAAAGCTGCTTCCTTAAAAACAGTAACAGAAACCCAATAAGGCCCAGTGTCCCCGAAATCGGAGTTCTGAATTCCGCTGTCACCCCAGCAACAGCATATGTCCTTAAGAGACGCTTGACCCAGCACTTGGGCTGATGTCATTGGCTGTTACCGGGGCAACCTAGGTCTCAGCAGTCTCTGGCAGAAGCGTGCCATCGCTGCTTCTTCTAGGGGGAGCTGGGCTGGAGGTGCCCAACGGTCTATCTGTGCTCTTGAAATGGAAACAAGGATCTGGGAGGTGGCGGCAACAAGTTTTGGAGAAGCCTCCACAGCAACGGCCCCACAGCCTACAGCTCATGCCTCAGGTTACGTGCTGGCGGGGAAAAGAGACGGGGAACAGAAAGCAGGACAAAAGGCACCTGTACCTGCTCGAGCCCGGTAGCCTGCAGCTGCCCAGACACCTGGTAGGTGACTGGCAGAAGGGACACCTGCCTTTTCAGCTTTCCATTCCTCCCAGAGTGCTTGGAGATCACACCTGTCCTTCCCCCTACTTCCTGGCGGGGCCGGACGCCAAGATGTTTCTGTGCGTCATCAGGGAAGATGTTCGTGTTGGAAAGCATTCTGACCTCCCAAACGTCCATCCTCTCAGGCGAAGGCTGGACTCGAAGACACTCGTGGACAGGCAGAATGGCATAGGAGGGGAAGAGCCCTGAAGAGGGATTCAGAAGCCCTGGGTTCTAGTCCTGGCTCTGCCCCATTGGGCTCTGTGATCCTGTGCAAGTCATTTGACCTCTCTGAGCGCTTCCCCAGCTATACAAGCAAGAGGTCAGACTGGGTGGCTTTAACTCAGCTTTTACATCCTTCTACTCTCTTGGGGGAATCGGTGAGGACTCAGGGTGAGACACTCTCAAACAGGCAAGGGTGCCAGGCTGGCGGGATGGGGGGGGGGGCGGTGGGAATCCAGAAAAGCTGGTTTTTACAATCTGTGCATGAAGTTGGCCTGCCTAGTCCCTTGCCTTTGCCCCTGACTCTCTGGAGCCAGCTGCTGACCCTGACCCATGCCCAGCCCATGATCCCATCTGCTGCCAACTCTCAGAATCTACCCCTGCTACGTCCCCTGGTTGCTAGGCAGCTTCAGGCTGGCCCCACCCTGTCCACGTGGAATCACAGACAATCTCACGTTTGATCTGGAGAGCTCTCAGCAATGACCACAGCAAGGGCCTCAGCTCACAAATGAGGAAGACGAGCCCAGAGAGAGCAGGGACTTACAGAAGGCCACACGGCAGGTTAGCAGCGGGGCTGGCTAGGAACCATGGGTTCCTCCTTCTCATCCAGCGCTCTGCACACCACTCCACCCTTCTCCCCTCTCTGCCTGCTCAGTTCCTTCCTGTCTTCCTTCCCCCAGAGGCTGCAGGGCCATGCAGAAGGGCTAGGTAATGCGACTCTGCCATAGCCTGGGTCCCAGGGCGCAGTGCCTCTGCCTCAAGCTGCTCCTAGGCCAGGCTGAAGTGGCCCAGGTCCTGTCCTGGGCACGGAGGAGGAGAGGCGACCTGCCACTTAGCACACATGTGGGCGAGCACAAGGGGTGACTATGGCCTTTTGGCCTCCTAGGGTCTTAATCCCTCGGGCTGGAGCCGGGAAGGGAATGTCCTGGAAATTGAGGTGGGGGTGGGCCAGGCGTGGAACCAACATTCAAACCACTGCACACAAAGAAACAAGCAAAGAGGAAGAAGAGAGGGTGCGGGAGGCTCCATCAAATTCCCATTGCCCCTTCAGGGGCAACTGGTGGGAAGATGCAGGAGGGGTGAGTCTGAGTCTCCTATGTCTCTGTCATGCCCTTCTAGGCTGAGGGGACAGCTCTAGAGCTTGTTGTGGCCCTGAAGGGGATGGGGCCAGGCCTGTTGCATGGGGGACAGGTGCACTGAGATAGCAGGCCCTTCCCGCCGCCCCCCCCCCGCCCCCAACCCAGTGGCATGTGCTGTTGAGATCAGTGGAATCAGACATGGCTGATGGGCCAGGGTGGGTGGGGGTAAGAGACAGCTCTAGTCTAATGCCAAGAGAGCGGACAGAGCTGTGGGCACTGTTACCACCCTCCACCAGGTCCTGGACTCACCCCAGGCTTGACCTGTTGGCTTGAGCTGCTTGTCCCCGTCCAAGTGGGGGTAGGGGACAGCCATAGCAGGGCAGGGCATTCTGGAGGTGTAGGTATAGGTGGGGGAAACAGGAGGCACGGCCAGGAGTGGGGCAGGAGGGGGGGCAGTGTGTGGGTAGGCTGAGGAGGGAATGTGTGTCCCCAAAATAAGGTCCCCAAAATGGCAGGCAAGGGAGGGACCCTGGATGAGGTGGCCCCTCATGCCTTGGCCCTCCCCTTGCAGACATCAAAGGTAGCCTTTTTTGCACCCCCGAAGGCCTCCACCAGCTTGTCTTCCCAGGGAAGGACGTTGCCCAGCAGTGGCCCGGTACAGTTGGCAATGCCCAGGACCTGGGCAGGTGTCAGGGCGTGGTCCCACAGGTTAAACTGGGCGATGTCACCCACGAAGGCCTGAGTGGCGTCAAACCGGCCACCCAGGGCATCCTGGGCCAAGAGAGGAGCAGAGAAAGGAGAGAGACATGGAGTGAGGCAGGGGGAAAGACAGGCAGGCTGACTCAATCAGGGCCCAGGTCCTGCTGAAGCCCCGTCCCCAGAGTTCTAGCCCCGTCCCCAAGTTCCAGCCCTGTCCCCAAGGTTCCAGCCCCTTGGGCAGGTTTCTAGTCTCTCTGGGTCTCAGTTTGCCCACCTGCAGAATGGCTGGGTCAGACTGAGCGATCACTGCTGTGCTCTTAGGGTCCCTCTACCTAACCCCTCCTTCTCAGGGGCCCTGGGTGAGTGAGATATCTTACTTAGGCCTCATGCCCCCATACCACCCTGGGCCTTACCTGCTCCTGGCCCAGGATAAGGATTCCATGTGGCTTGATGGGGTGCCAGGCAGCCAGGTTCTCACCGGAGCCCTGCAGCTCCCCATCCTGGTAGGCAGACCACAGGCCGTCCCTCGTCGTCCAGGAGATGCAGATGTGGTGCCAGCCATTGTCCTTCAGGCTCAGAGGCAGCTGGGCCACCTGGACATAGGTCCCGCGACCCCAGGTCAGAGGTACCACAGTCCCAAGGCTGGACCAGTGAGGAGGCGGGGGGACCAGGAGACCCATGTTCTTCTCTCCAGGGACTGGCCCAAGGCTTGACCCTCCCGCTCCTCCCAGCCCAGCATCTTTCGGACCGCTTTTTCTTCTTTCCCCACAACTCAACCAGGCAGCTTCTCTCAGATCACAAGGGACTCTTCGGTACTGGTTTTCAGGTGTTTCCAGCTAGTTTATTCACCCTCTTACAGGGTGCGGGGCGGGAGCCACATCTCACCATCTCTGAACACCTCACACAGTGCCTGGCACGCAGCTGGGCTCACACTGGCAGTGGCGGAATGAGCCTTGGACTCTGAGGCTGGGCACTGGCACCCAGCCCTGGCTCTCCCAACCAACCTCCCGTGGGACCTTGGGGAGGCTGCTCTTTCCTCCCTGGGCCTCAGTTCTTCATCTGTGAAGTAAGGAGGTCAGGCAAAGGGTGGCAAATGTGTGGCCACCTCTGGCTCCTCCACCCAAGGCAGACATGGCTAATCAATTACGAACCTAGGCTCAGCCTTGGGACCTTTCCTACCACGGGGCTCTGGGAAAGCCGCTGGTGATTGACTCAAATTGGCCCGTGAGATGAAAGGTACTTGCTGCCTGTGGATTTGGGACTCCCGAGGGGCTCTTTCATCACCTAGTTCTGAGATCACACTTGAATACAACACTATCTGAGGCCTGCTTGGGGCCAGGCCTTGTTCTGGACACTGGGGATATGGATCTGGTCTCAGCTATAAATGAGTCTGAGTCTGCACGGGAGGGAAGAGCTTCAGGGCAACATTACAAGACAAAAGACCAGGGGCCATTTGGGAGGTACAGAGGCTGTGAAGGCCCATAGGAAGAGGCAGGTGTGGGAACAGCAGACACGGTATTCAAACACATCTGGAAGGACAATGCATCTGACCATCCCAGCAAGTTGGGGGCACAGTAGCAGCAAAGGCTAAGAGGCTGGAATCAAAGGAGACCGGAGTAATCCCTGAAGTTGACCCTCAAAAGGACTCTTGACGTTCCTGGAATAGCACTGTTCACTGCCCTGTCCAGGGTGCTGAATCCTTTCCACAGAGACCTGAGTGCTGAGCTTGCACAGGGCCAAGGATGGCAGCCAGGGGGGTGTATGAAGGGGACATGGCAGCAGGATCTAGATGTTGTCCAGCTACCCTAGGCTTCTTAAGACCTACTGGGCTACAAGAGAAACTCCTGTCCCCTGGGCCCATCTCCTTCTTCTTCATCCTCCTCCAGGACACCCATGAAAGACACCTCCTGCTGAGCTGGGTTCTGATGGGTGACAACCACTCCTAGCAGATCTATGTGGCTGTGGGCTGGTCACGAGTGGGTGTGGTAGGTGGTGCTTACATTTCCAGGGGGGCCTTAAAAGACCACCATGGCTGCAAATCCCAAAGCAATATGGCAGGTGAAGGAGGATATTTGAGGGGAATGAGGGTGATAAGACACTCCCTCTTCTGCTCAATCACCGTGCCCCTGCCACACCACTCCCCCGTGTCCTTGTCCTGCCCTGCAGATAGGCGCAGGGAGGGCTGTGGGGCTGGGGGTCCAGGCATGGGGAAGATGGGTGGCCCAAGGATAGAACGGTGGAGGGGTTCACGGGGGGGTTCTGCAGCCCAAAACCGCGAATCATATCAGCACCCCTTCACCAGCTGTGTGGGCCTGTGTGCATTCTTTGCCCTCTCTGAGCCTCCGCTTCTCCATGTGCAAAATGGTAATGGTAAGGGTGCCTACCTCCCAGTGCTGTTGGGAGGGTCAAGGGTGATAATGTGAGTAAAGTGCTTATGAGCACTGGGCCTGGAATAATAACAGCTCACATGGCTCAAAGCTTGTTAAATGTTAGGCTTGCTCACACCCCTTTACATGTATGTAAGCCACTCATTTCTCACCACAACCCCACGGTAGAGACTACTGCCAGTCCTCCTTGGCGGATGAGGAAACTGAGGCACGGGGTGTGTAAGCGACCAGTCTAACGTCACACAGAGGGTAAGCAGCAGAACCAGAATTCAAATCCAGCGTTCAGGCCTGACCATGGCCCATTCTACTCTCCCTATGAGGAGGGCGGCAGAGGGGGAGCGGCAGAGGAGGACGGGGGCAAGGAGTCCACCAGCGCTCCCTCCTCAAGTAGTTCCTTGGGCCTCATTGGCTTCTCTCTTTGCCCATGAGAGAGACAGCGCCCTGGGACAGACATCTGTAGCCATGTTCCTACAGCTGGGTCACTGGGGAAGCCCCACAGGTCTCCTCTGTAAATGGACATGCCATCACTTACAGCTCTCGGATCCAGGCCCCTCTGCAGCCAGCCCCAGGTCTGGCTTGTCTTTGTACTCCTAGAACCCAGCCTGGCACACAGTAGGCATTTCATATGTGCTGAAGCTGCTGAGCAGGAGAACTCAAAGGGCCCGCAGGCTTGGGACCCAGCACAGTGCAGGTGCTCCTGGAAGGGTCACCCGGCCCCCCACTTTCCTCCCATTCTGCCCAGCCTCCACTCACCTTGTCGTTGATCAGCAGTTCCATGGGGTCGTGGCCCGCCTCCAGCAGCACAATCTCATTGGCCTGCCCGGGCACGGAGTAGGAGAAGGGTGTGCCCTGGCCATTGCCACCCGACCTGGACCGCAGCCACATGCAGACGGTGAAGGCGTAGAGCTCAGGCAGGGCCTTCCGCACGCGGGCGTACATGTAGTTGTTGCGGATGGGGATGCTGATCTTGAAGGCATCTGGGGGGCTGTAGGCTGAGGACCCTGAGGGGGGTGGGCAAGGTGGTCATGGTGGGGATCAGTGGCCACTGATGGGGATGGGCAGCGCGGACTGTAGAATGAGGGCTACTAGTCCCTGGACATCTGCCATGTACCAGATGCATTTGCAGCCTTTTCTACCCTGCCATTGTGTTGACGGGTGTGGTTAAGGTCCAAGGGCTCTGGACCTGAGACGTCCTGAGTTCAAATCCGGGCTCCACACTTCCCAGCCACATGACCTTCCACAGTTCAACTTCACCTCTCTCGGCCCTAGTTTGCTCAGTAAGATGGCATAAATAAGATTTCCTCCCTCTCAGGCTTGTGTGAGGGTTGAGTGGGACAAACTATGTAAAGGGCCTGGCCCAGAGTAAATGCTCGACAAATGTTAACTATTCCAATGATCATTGTTTGGACTTCTTTGCCTATTGTTTACATTTTTAAATATTTATTTTAGAGAGAGAGGGAGTGAGCATGAGCAGGGGAGGAGCAGAGAGAGAGAGGGAGACAGAGAATCCAAAGCAGGCTCTGTGCCGTCAGCACAGAGCCCAATGCGAGGCTTGAACTCACAGACTGTGAGATCGGGACTTGAGCCAAAGTTGGACGCTTAACCAACTGAGCCACACAGGTGCCCCTCTTTGCCTGTTTATTTAACAAGCACTCTACAGTGCCTTCTGTATGGCAGGCACTGTCCTAAGAGCCTTTCCATACATGACCTCCTTCATTCTTATGACAGCCCTATGAGGTGGACACTGTTATAATCCTCAGTTTACAGATGAGGCAACCTTGGCACAGAGGGATTAGGTAATCTTCTCAAGGCCACACAGCTAGTAAGTGGCAAAGCTGGGATCTGAACAGGATCATCCTGGGATTCCTTGATATCCAGGGCAGCACAGAGTTTCAGGGATTCTATGCCTTAAGTATTAGAGGGCTTTCTGCAGGGGCAGACTGGGGAGTCGCCATCTCTATGGGCAGGGGGGGTGACACCCACCACACCCACCTCTGGGATAGGAGTTCCCCTCCTCCAGCTGGTTGTTGAGGGCTGGGGTTAGGGGGTTAGGGCTGGGAATGGTGGACCCAGGTTCCCAGGTTCGGTTGGGGCTTGGGGTGAAGGCTGATGTGGTGATGCATCATGGTAAGAGAGGAAGGGGCTCGGTGACGGTCCCTTGAAGCCTGTTTCATAGATGAGGAAGTCGAGTCCCAAGAAGGGACTTGCCCACAGGCATACAGACATCTAGCCTAGTTGCCTCCCTCTTCTCTGCCCGACAGCCGCTGGAGGGGGCATTTCCCCCAATCCCTTAGAAGATGCAGTATAGGGGGGCCAGTGGCAGGACTGAGGAGGGATGAGTTTGCCTTTCTTGTCTCTGTGCTCCAGCCGGAAACCCACCAGGCCAAGCCTTGCCTTCAGCTGTGCCCCTGCTATGGCCCCTCCACTCCACAACTGACTCTACCTCTCCCTGCAAGGACTAGCTTGAGGCTCACCTCCTCCAGCCTCTTGGATTTCCTTCTCTGAAACTTCTGTCCCTGTCTAAGCCAGTCCCAGATAATTACTCAGGATTCCCCCTAACTTGTCTGTAAGCCTCTTACAGGATGCTCCTCCCAAGGTTTCAAAGATGAAAGTTCCCTGAGACCTCCTGAGTCCTAAATCCCCGTATTTCAGATGAGAAAAACGAGGCCTGAGGAAAGGAAGCAAAATTCAAAAGTCTCAGCGCAAGCCAGTGACAGCTGTGGAGCCCGGAGCCAGGTCCCCTTGATGCTCAAACCCGTGGACTACCCATTACCCTGACCCCTGGAAGCGCCAGGCCCAGGTGTTTAACAAGTGACAAAATCTGGATTCACTGAAGGTGCTGTTTTGTGGGGTGGCTAAATGCACGGACTTTGGCAGGAGACCCACTTTGAGGTTCAGATCCACCATTCACTGGCTGTGTGACGTTGGACAAGTCACTTGACCTCTCTGAGCCTCGGTTTCCTTTTCTGTGAAATGGGGATAATAACACACCATCCCTGTGTGGTTTGTGAAGGTTAACCCAGCTGACGTGTCACGTACTTAGCCCACTCCCAGAACGTAAGTGCCAGAAAACGCTAACCGTTAAAAATAATAACCCTGATGATACTCCCCAATTATTCTCACCCTCTTGGGTTCTGCAGCCTCCTCCCCCGCCATCCCATCTAGCTTTAGTCTCTGGAGAGCATAAAAACGTTTTCGAGTGAATCTGCCACTTTGAGGACCCATCTGAGAACCAAGGCCTCGCCTGCTATGCCCTCTGCGGGGCCCAGGACCCACCGTGCTCCAGTTCGGCTACGCGGCCCTGTAGCGCATCCAGCTCCTTCTCCACTTCCTGCCGCTGCCGGTGGCTGCTGTGACTCAAAGCCATGCGCTCCTTCTCCAGGGTCAGCACCTTGGCCAGCAGCTGGCCCTCCAGTTCATCCATCTTGGAGTGCAGGGCGGTGGGCACCGCGGGCGCAGGGGCTGGGGCGGCTGAGAAGTTCACACGGGCTGGGAGCTCCTGCTGCTTACGGGGCAGAAAAAAAAGGGGGGCATGTGAGGTCACTTGCAGGGAGGAAGGAAAGAGACACGGGGCTCAGAGATGCCTACCACCCACCCCTGGTGATTGACCCCAGGTGAGCCTCAGCGTCTCCATATGCAAAGTGATGGTGAGCTGACCTCAAGAACATGTCAGCCTATGGTGGGGTCGGGGGGCCGGCAGTGGAGAGCTCTGAAAGCTTCCCTGGGTGGGTCTGATGTTGCCATCGGGGCTGAGAGCCACTGCTGAGCCCTTCTTAACTGAAAGACTGGACACTGATGGGTCTTTAAAGGAATGGATAGTCTTCACTCATTCACTTGGCAAGCTTCTCTAAGACGGTGAGAGGTTCTGCGTGGGCACTGGGCAGATAGATGCAGGGGCACAAACCAGGGGCTTCTGGAATAGAGCTGCAATGGTGCGCCCATTCCAGAGTAACATGTGGTTCAAGTCACAGGCTCTGGAGTCGGACAACCCGGGGCCCAAATCCAGCTCAAGAACCAATCTGCTGTGTGACCCTAGGCAAATGCCTCCACCTCTCTGAACCCCTGTTTCCTTACAAGCAACAGGGGACACGCGTATCTATTTAGAAGGGTTGGGGGATGATTGGGCAGTTAACGCCAATGAACAGAGCCTGGTTATTGCAATTACTGTCTAGGGCAGAGTGTTCTAAGCTGGCCTCTGACACCCTCATCCTGCCTGGGGTGAGGACGAAGTGTTTAGAGTCCCCCCTTTTCCTGTCTTAAGACCCCAGGGGGCAGGAGAATTGGGACAGGAGCCCGCGGGGGGGGGGGGACTCTCCTCCCCCTCTCCTGCTGGAGGAAGCCCCTTCTGGGGTGGAAGAAGGCAGGCAAGGCCACACGTCCAGACTCTGGGAGGGGGTAGTCTCTGGCAGGCAACGGGAGCATCAGTAGAAAATTAAAAATTCAGCGAGCTTCTAGGAGCCAAATTAGACCTTCTCTGTCCCCTTGGCTCCCTCCACATCCCCAGAGGCCCAGGCAGCTCCCGCTCAGTCAGCCCCGGGCCTTGTCCGCAGGCTTAGCCCCAGACCCGAGCTCACTGAGTTCTCACGAATCTGTAAGCGAGCGAGTAAATGGTGAGCGCCTACCGCGGGCAGGGCACGGGGTGCTGGAGAGACAGCTGAGGGTCAAATGGACAACCACGGTGCCCTGTGCCTCGCAGGGACGGCCCCTCGGCTTGGGGCAAGCACCCCTCCCTGGCCCCCACTGGCCCAGCCCACTTGCCGGGTGAGACTGGGTGGATCCCTTCGCCTCTCTGAGCCTTGTTTTCTGGCCATGTGATGAGGGGGTAAACGTGTCCCCCCCCCCCCCCC